AGTAATGGTCATAATGTTATGGCTGTACATGTACTTTTATGATATATCTATAAATTGTGATAGATGGATCAGAGCAGGAGAGATGAGTAGAGGAGAAAGGACATCCTCCCTGTGCATGTTTCACTCAGTGCTGCAGTCAATACTAATTAGCCTAGTTAAATGTCAGTACAGGCCCCCAGTGTAAGTTATGTACAGTAGAGCATCATGAGGTGAGAAAATGGGCATAGGATAAAAATAATCATTGGTTTATTTGAATCGTGCAAAAATGTTGAGTTAAAAATGCATTTTCTTTTAACAAGTAATTTTTATAAGATGCATCATGACCATTGTTACTGCTTTTAAAATGACCATTTTACATAACTGCTGACTTCACAACATATAGGGAACAAATAATTTTCCTACTTGCTTTACTGTTTACTCCCAGATTGTTAAGAATTATCCAAATGATTCCAAAAAAGTTCAGTCTGGTCCTCTGGACATTCAAAAAAAACAAAAAACAAAACAAAGCAAAAACATGTAGAAACGTTTCGTCTCTCATCTGAAAGACTTCCTCAGTCTGAGGTGCTGTATTCAGCTCAGTCTCTTAAATAGCACCTTCTCAGAGTGGATCAACCAGTTTGCTGCTGACAACCAAAACCAGCTGATCACATGCTCAAGAAGGACCATCAGCCTAACAATGGATCATTAGCACACTGATGGCTGTTTACTATTCACAGAGGGCTGAGTGATACTAGCAATCACAGCATTGTAAGAGGGGGACAGTTGACCCCGGAGGCCTCCACCCCTGTTTAACGATGGACGATTTCTTTTCACAAAGATGGCCTCCTTTACTCCTCTCTCAAACCATTGTTCCTCTCTGTCCAGGATGTGAACATCTTCATCCCTGAAAGAGTGACCGCTGGCCTGGAGATGAGTGTAGACCGCAGAATCCTGGCCTGATGATGTTGATCTTCTGTGCTGGGCCATCCTTTTGGCTAGTGGCTGTTTAGTTTCCCCGATGTAAGACTGATCACCCTCCTGACACTGAACAGCATACACAATATTACTCTGTTTGTGCCGGGGACTGGATCTTTGGGATGAACCAGTCTTTGCCGTAATGTATTTTGGGGTTTAAAAGCCACTGGGACGTTATGTTTAGAAAATAAACGCCTCAGTTTCTCTGATACTCCCTCAACATACGGAATGACCACTGGTCTGGGTCTGGGTTCCTCCTTTTCACCTGATGGCTGACTGGAGTCCTGTTTGGGTTTCTTCTCTGCTTTCAGGAAGGCCCAGTTAGGATATCCACATTGCTCTAGAGCCTGTCTTGTGTAGGATTTCTCCTTCTGCCTGGTTCCTGAGTTAGTGGGGACTCTGTCTGCTCTGTGGTACAGAGTCCTGATGACTCCTAACTTGTGCTCCAAAGGGTGATGGGAGTCAAACTGCAGTTGAATACATGAATACAGCACCTCAGACTGAGGAAGTCTCTCGGATGACAGACAAAACGTTTCTATATTTTTTTGCTTTGTTTTGTTTTTTTGAATGTCCAGAGGACCAGATTGAACTTTTTGGGATTTTTCTACCTGGATTATTGAACATGCATCAGGATATCCAAATGATTGTGACAATTTGTTTGTAAAGATAGCTTTACTTAAATACACATTTTAATACATTTAGAAAAATACAAAGTTTTAGCAGTTGATGTTTAGCGTATATGTGTGTTACTCAGAAATAAAGTCCCACAATTTATCTAAAGGGATAGTTCTTTTAGTGTTGAAAGGAGGTTCTGTGGAACGGTTATGAACAATGTTATACTTGTAAATAGCTTTATTTAATAGATCTGTCTGAAGAAAATATAAATACATTTTGAATGGATTAATGAACTAATCATAATCAGAATGAGATCAGGACCAAAGGAGGTCGCTGCTATTTTAAACAATTCAAATCTCAAATATTTCATGGTTTATGCAAACATATTTTGCAAAGTATTACTTGTTGTCAGTTTTGTATTCCACAAACATTCCAACAAAATATTATGATACCTTTTCAGTGTCCCATGGTTGCACTAAAGTGCAACACAGCTGGCTGCTACTGCTGCTTTTTTGTGCTGGCAAAAAACCATATAATTATGTTCTGATGCATACTCAATAATCCAGGTAGATAAATCTAACAAGGTTGAGTCATCTGTCCAGAAGACCTGACTCAACCATGTTAGACCCATACAGTTATGTTAAAAAAAAAAAACAATACATGTACAGTAGTCCCTCATTTATTGTGGGGAATCCATACCCTGAAGCCCTGTGATAAGTGGAAAAACTTGAAATACAAGTAGTAAGTAGTAGTTTACTTTAGTATTTATATATAAAGGTGTTTTAAACCCTTCCCACACTCTTGCAATATTCTAAACAATGTTTCTAAACTCTAAATGCTCTAAAAGAGCACAGCATGTCATGATGTCAGCTCTCTGCCACGGCTGCACTCTGTGCTCTCGGCCCCGCCCACTTCTCCGCAGCAGAATAGAGATAACAGAGGAGGAAAGAGGAGGAGCTGCATGATGATGTTTCTCCTGCAGTGTGGACTGCACAAAGGTGCAGCAGGTGCTTAATAATTTAAAATAATTGATTTTAAATAAAAGTCTTTGCTATTTTACGCTGGGTAACACCATTCTAGTATTGCTGCACTATCTTTCTGTGCAACAATGGTGGAATTGGTGATCCTCTTACCATCTTGGCTTCTGAGAGACACTGACACTCTGAGAAGCTCTTTTTATACCCAATCATGTTGTCAATTGACCTAATTAGTGTTAATTGGTCTTCCAGCTGTTCGTTATATGCTCTATTTCCTTTTTCCAGCCACTTATTGCTACTTGTCCCAACTTTTTTGGGATTTGTTGACACTGTGAAATTTTGAATCAACATATTTTTCCTTTAAAATGTTACATTTACTCAGATTAAACTTTTGATCTGTCATCTATGTTATATTACGATAAAATATTGACATTTGCCATCTCCACATCATTGCATTCACAATTTGTTTAGTGTCCCAACTTTTTTAGAATCCGGTTTGTATGTACAGCTAAAATATTAACTCTATCCAACCCTTTTACAGAACACCTCTTTAAAACATTTGCATTATCGCTTTAAAATTACTTTAGGACTATTTAGCTACACAGTAAAATGTATGATCTTCCCACGTACATTTTCATAGATAACTGTTAGCATTGCTATGAAAGAAAAAAAATAGTCATGTTAATAACTAAGATACAAAGTCTTACATTCATCTAAGAAGGAAGTAGAGAAATATTTACAAAGGAAACAGGCAAACTGTCTTTACAGCATATTAACAATCACTAGGTAACAACAGATTAATTTGGAAAACATACATTACAGAATGTTAGGTCACAAATAAGTCATAAATCATTGGGGGAATAAATTCCTAATTTATAATTTGGCTACATTTTAGAAAAGCTTTCAACTTGCTACTTTCTTTTAAAAAGTAAACTGGTGCTAAAATATCTAACAAGGTTGTCAGGTCTTCTGAACTGATTGTTCTCTGTTGAAACTTTTTGTCTTTTATCCAAAAGACTTCTTCAGGCTAAGGCTTCTTATAATAATAATAATAATAATAATCATCATCTTCAGACTGAAGGTCTTTTGGATAAAAGATGAAACGTTTCAACAAAGAACAATCCATCCAGAGGACCTGGCTTAACCTTGTTAGATTTATCTACCTGGATTATTGAGCATGCATCAGGACGGTGATAAAATACCTTAATAAATATCACCAATTTTCATTTTAGCCTTTTTGCTGAAATGGTTTTTAAAGGCTGAAATTTTTCAAAACATTCAATTAAATTTTACTTACTGCCAAGTACCAAATATAAAGAATAGGAAATAGGAATAGGAAAAAAAAATAGGAACAAAAGTGCCAAAGAATAAAGATATTCAGGTTGAAAGTTTCAGCACCATGGAGAGCGATACAAAGAGCCGTTAAAATACTTAAGCTTCCTATGGGCTCCAGCTGCAAGATGCTGCAACATTTCTTTGTTAAAAAAAAGTTCTCACTCATACTTATTTCAGATGCATTCTTATTCTAGGTCACAACGCTTAAATAAGTCACACGTCTCATTTCTTAGAAAATACAGGCAGCTTTGCGGGGAAGCCTTGATCAACAATATCTACGCAGCGCTGGGGTGTGTTATACGACTCAGCCCGAGCCCCAGTCACTGTAGCTGCCTGTTGGCTGCCATCATTACAGTAATGATCTCCCAGTACACAGCTCCCTTGTGAGGTCCCATCAAACCAGTTGACTGGGACTGTGCCTGACTCTCTCCTCTTCTCTAGTGCATGGATAAATGTGTACTGAAAAAAGCATAAACCAACTTGTGACTGCTTTTCATTTTGTGACAGAGGCAATTTGTGACAAACACTCATCCAGCCATTATCTTTACCAGAATTTCAGGGGTCACTGATGTCCTTGTCGAGCCAGCACTGTGTGAGAGAGGGCGTAAACCCTGGACAAGTCTCCAGTCCATCACAGGGACACATAGATACAAACAAGCCAAACAACCATTCACACTCTCACTCACACAGAGTTACCAATCATCCTAACGTGCATGTTTTGCCCTGCAGGAGGAAACCGGAGTACATGGAGAAAACCCACACATGCACTGGATTCAAACTCTACCCAGAAAAGTCCCCAGGCTGGGATTCAATTTGGCAGCCTTCTTGCTGAGAGGCAACAGCTCTACCAACTGCACCCCCGTCCCATCCAAACATGCATGTAAGACAAAATCAAGAAAAGCAACAAGTACACATATGTGAAACTCTTCATCAGTGGCTTACAAACTGGTGAAATGTCCCATTAGCAATTCTATCACTTGTTAAAATTTTGATATTCTTTTTTTTTTTTTTCTATCTAAAAAAATCTAAAAAAAAATAAATAAATTTGATATTCTAAACACAGTGTTTTTGGATTTCAACTTCATATAATGAGCCTTCAGAATTGATCTACTGTCACACCTGTGTCTTCGTCGATGGTGAAAGTGCCCAGTCCGCTGCCTCGGCTGACAGAGTATCTCAGCATGCCATCTCGTCCCTTGTCATCATCTTTGGCGCTGACCGTCAGGACACTTGTCCCTGCGCGTGAGTTCTCCTTCACTGAGCCTCTCACAGCAAAGTCAGGGAAATAGGGAGCATACAAATTTTCATTGACATCCGCCACCTGAGGAAATGATACGGTTGACTATATTTAGAAGGAAGAGGTGTGTACTTCTGAATATGTATTCAATCAATGTAGTCCTGTGCTACTAATCAAATGTCAATGTATCATGAGAATTGAAACTGAATGTAACAAAACATGGTAATATTTTTCTATTACACACCTCAATCTCCACAAACGTCTGGCTTTGAAGGCTGGGTACTCCTCTGTCTTCAGCAAGTACAGTCAGGTTGAAAAACTGTTTAGTCTCAAAATCCAGTTCCTTCATGATCCTCAGGACACCAGTAAGAGTATTAATCTGCACAAAGCATCACATCAGAAACAGTCTTATCAGCCGTAGCCTGTGATCTTAAAGAAATTACAACACATTAAAAAACAAAAACAATCCTACACACAAACTGTGATGTAGAGGATAACAGTTAGTTTTCTGCACCGCCTTATAATCTAGCTGTTTGTTTTTTCCCACTAATTTTTCCTTTTGACTGTTCTTTTGGCTGCCATTTTATTTTAATTTGTAAAAACAAAAAAAACAAACAAACAAAAAATGGTATGCCTCTTTTATGATTGTCTGTTGTTGTCGTTGTTATCCACTGTCATCATCACTCTTTGTTAAAGAAATCAGGTCTCACTTGTAAATGAGTCCCAGAGGCTCAATGGGATTAACCTATATAAATAAAGGTTGAATGAAAAAAAATATTTTTTTAATGATTACAGTATTTTTGTTGTTATATGTGAGAAAAACCTGTTGCAAAGAAGTAAAATTTTAAGTATTGTGAGTATTAACTTTCTTTGGTTTCTTCTTTCTTTGTGATACTTCTTCATTTGTATCAGCTTGGTTATATCCCTTTGGTATCATTTTGGCTATTTTATTTGGATAAACTTGTGATTGGGAGAACAAATGCTCAAAGAAAGAGTAAACATATTGATATTTCAATCCCAATGGGATGTTGTTGTTTTTTTTACTATGTTTTCTGCATCTTCTTTTCATTCCTTGAATGTCTCTACTATTTGGCTAATAAAAAGTCAGATATTTTTGTCCACATATCTTCATTAGCACATAGTTGATCATTTATAAACAATATTTTTCCTGGATCAGATGAAACTACCACAAAAAAAGTGTTGCGGTAGTTTTTGACTCAATCAAGAAGAAATATTATATATATATATATATATATATATATATATATATATATATATATACT